AATATCACAATTATACCTGTCTCCTCAAGTGTTATCCAGAACTCGTGAATGTCGTCCGTGGTAATTGGGTTATTAGCATTACACGTCATACTCATGTAACAGGCACAAGGAAGTCCATGCGTCCATCTGAGTGTGCACCCGCAGCGCGTCGTAACCTCATCGCTCAAGTCTCGCATCCTCTTATACTCTTTGTTCAATAACTCCAAACAATAATGCGAGACCCTCAGTGTTAGCTGCGAGAACGGAAATCCGGTGTAATGGTAACTCCGTTTGTTCCGGCACTCCTCCAGCGTGGCCCTGATAATAGATTGCATGAAGATGAATTTATAACTAACTAGTATTCGATCATGTGCACATGCACAGATGCAAATAAAATTTTATATGTTATATGTATGTGTACGTAATATTTAAAATCAGAAGTTAGATAATAGCATATCAAATTTTATATATTTTATCATTAATAAAAATGAACGATGTCAAAATTGGTTGGATAAAAAATTTTACAATCTTTATTTAGTATGAACAAAATTGACTGGATAAAAAAGAATATTATTATTATAATAATTGTGTTCGAAAATTTAATAAAAATTAAATAATTAATGTGAGTAAAAAAATACTTGTTTAATGAGTTAAAACAAAAAAAAATCACATAAATAGTTTGAAAAAATGTTTAAATTATAATAGCAGTTAATGTGATTTTAGATTGCTTATGAGTAGTTATATAATAAAACTGCAAAAAAAATAATATAAATATATAGATACATGAATAGCACAATAAATATGTGTAGTTTAATAAATTAACGTACCTGATTTGAGTGTGTTGGGACTCAATCTCCTTGTGAGCCTTCTCCCACACTGTGTCAAGAGAACCGGTGGACGTGTTAAGCCACTGCTTCAACACATTGTGGGAACTCTTTACCCTACACGACGTGGTGTTACCCAAATGCAGGAAGTGATTCGTCCACGCTTTGACAAATTTTTCCTTGTGGACTAACCACGTATCCTCTATGTACTGTATAACAAGAGGGAACTTCTTGAACCGAAGCTGCATGTCCTTCACGGCAGTGTCGTACTCCACCACCGTGCTCGCTTCAATGATCTTCTTCCACCGACCACGCGTGAACATCTCGGCGAATTGACTATTTTTGTGGGTGATTTTATAGACCCTCTGTCCCACATCCTTGTTGATGTGCCACGTGCAAAGAAGATGGGCAGACATCGGAAAATTAATCATAATAGGATTCATCAACCCCATCTCCCTGTCAGTGACAATGACTGAAGGATTGACATCAGACCCAATCAGATCTCTCAACCGCTTCAGAACCCAGTCGTAGCTGTTCTGGCTCTCGTCCTTCACAATTGCATATGCAATCAAGAAGTTCTTGTTGCAAGGCGTCATCCCTATTATTTCCACAAGCGGCATCTTGTACCTGTGCAAATGAGGGCAACAAAATCAAACAAAGAATAAAAAAACGTACATACTCAGACATAATAATTAAGATTCGTACTAAATTGTTATTTATAAATTAACGTACCTGTTGGTTTTGTACGTCGAATCTATACCGATGTACCAATAATATGTCTGAAAGAGAAGGGCTGACCGAGGATGCGACATGAACACGCATGTCAAGGTGTGTGTGTCCTTATCAGAATCGGTGAAAACTATGTAATTAGCCCGGCTAGCCAGATGCATAAGCTGGGAAGTCACATCTCTACCCTCGAAACTCTCTGATCGGATTCTAGCCCTATAGTTGTAAACCTGTTGACGAACCGCGTTGTCAGACGGGTATTTCTCTTGTATCGCTGCCAATATTACCGCCGGTCTTGCCTGGGCAGCTGTCATGTCACGGACGATCTGTCTCGCCTTTTCACTCAATCCGCTGAACTGTCGATGACCCTCGGGATACAAAACCATCGGATGATTATGGTATCCCTTCCGGTCATCCAGAGAAAAACATACACTCCAGGAATCTTTCGTTCCGGTCACTTTTTTCAATTTCATCTCAAACAGGCATCCGGTAAATTTTGTTTTCGACTTTCTCATGACAACATTAATAAGATTGGATAGTTTATTACCTCGATAATGTTCCCCTCGGTTACACTTAAGAATCCTCAATGTTCCTCCCTTTGAGTGCTTTGAAATAATAAGTGCAAAACCACAGATAGTTGCCATACCGACTGCATAGTTAACAGCCTTTTGAACACTATCAAATATCTCATCTGTTTTGAAAAAAGGCCAATAATCAACATTATCTCCTCCAAAATCCTCAACTGGCGCCTGCAATATATTACCAAAACATAATCAATTATAAGTAACCATTAAAAAACAATAATGTATACTCCCTCCTATCTTATATATTTGTCGTTTTGAGATAATGGGTCATTCATTAA